AATATATATATATATATATATATACACACACACACACACATTATAGGTATGTTTTGTATCTTGTTGATATGTTTGAAAGAATTATTAATTGTGCAAGCCTAGGAAGATGAAGTTTACTATTGGGAGATGGTGGGCTGATATAACAAACTGTTCAAAATCCAACGATTATGTGCCATAAAAATGCCTAAAATTAAAGCATATTATTTTAGAATGACGTGAAGGGTGACCTGTTGTCATAATTATGACGGATTGTTACACTCGACCATCAGATCCATTTTTCACACCGCATTTGTGGATGTTTGACGAAAGTAATATAATAAATGATGGACCATCGCAGGTTTGATAGATTGTCATGTGAACATGCATACCCAAGTAAGCTCATTTAACCCTAACATCAAATCTGACCCATATCCTAGCCTAAGAACAACACATCTACCCTCTAACTTGACCCACAGACCTAGAATTCATATAACCCTAATCAACTCACAAACAACAAAACACATGATTCCCTATATTATTAAACCATCATCCTCCACGTCTTGACCATTACACACTATATCGTTTTCCTTCTAACTTCTCATCTCCACAACTCGAATAACAAGCACAAAAAGAGGATGATCAAATTGGAATTGAAGCTTCATAAAACTTATTTTATATTTCCATATCAATTTCTCATCTCAAAAAGTATGTTGCTTGGTTTAAACTTGATTTAAATGATTATGGTGTGTTCCTATCGAGATATTGGTATTACACGTGGTCAAATTCTAAGAAACCCCAAGAGATTAAATAGTGATTCTAATATTTGTTCTTATGGGTTGTAAGTGAATTTGTCTTTGTGTGTGTGTGTAAATAATATACATACAAACAAATAATAACTAAAAATCCCAAAAATATTTTGAATTTGAGTGCTAAATGACGGTTCCCAATGATAGATTGAGTGATGACATTCTTAAGGGAAATCATCATTTTGGTAATTCGATTATCGTAAGACAAAGGAAAAGTCTAAGTACCCATAGTGTTTTCGAATTTAATATGAGAGTGAAGTCTGAGTAACCTTTGATGTGATTGAATGATAGTTGATATTTTTTTATGCTATGATATTCACGACTCATTTGATTGGATAACATTAATAACATAGTGAAACATCAATGAATATCTTTGAAAAAAATTGAATATGGCTAATGTTGATACACTTGATGGACCATTACAATTGTGGCAAATCTTGAGAGCCATCATCAATAAATCTAAAATAATAAGGTTACTAATAAGGCCTTGATAACTTGTCCAACTGACTGTCATACCAGTGATGAGCCATCAAAATAAACATTAGAAATGGAAAAATAAATTAATAATTGGAAGACATGTGTTCTATGCTGTTGAGAACCAATAACAAACAAAGTGATAGTCCGTCTCACTGATGATGGTCGACCAATGGTGACTAGTTGTTTCATTTTGCACTTTTTCATATGTGCTTTGCTATAATTGTGTGCAACAACATTTTTCTAAAATTGTAATTATGATGTAATACCTCACAAATTAAAAAGTCAAAAAGAAAGTGAAAATTATGATTATTGGCTCTAAGGTAGATTACAATTCCTTTCTACGGGTCGTAGGAAGTCATATGGACCGTAGAACAGGAATCTTAGACTTGGGGGTTGAGTTTTTAAAATTTCAAGTTTTTGAAGTTTGACCTACGACTGGACGATAGAGTTGTAGGAAGTTTGAACTTTCATGGATGGGTTCCATAAAAAGGTTCTATACTTAGTGATATTTTGAACTTAACCTTAGGTTATGCACATAGGATATACGGACCATAGGAATTTAGACGAACTGAAGGAAGGTCTTATGGTAAGGAAGGTGAATTGGGTTTCTGAAGTTGATTCTAAAGTTCACGATCAGTAGAATTTCTACGGACCGTAGGTATGAACTGTAGAAATTGTCGGACCGTTATTTAAAAGGGTATATGAGTCTTCAACTATGCATTAAATGCATATACCATGTACTTTTACCCCTACTTTTAAGTCCTACAACTACTCTTAAGCCCTAAAACTACCCCAACTCTCTCATTTACTAAAATATCCAAATCTCATTTACATTCATCTTCCCTAATTCTCTCGTGAGTTCAAGAAGAAAATTTTTGGTTGCAAACTTCAAGTCTCCTATTCCTCCTTTTCTTTTAGGATCTGATCTGCAAGGTATCTAGCGTTTTATCAATGGTTTCATTCACCCATTGAGCCCCAAAAGTTTCTCAATTCTTCAAGTTTAGTTTCACTAAATTGATTAGGTTTACAATCAATTCTTCATGGGTTCGTATTGCGGTGATTCAATTATTTGATTTTGATTTTTTTAATATTTATTTTGAGTCAATTACATATTTTCCTATTTTTTAATGTGAACCCACACATTATTCATGATTTTGACTATCAATTGTTGAAGGCATGAATTTATGAAGAAATTATGAATCTAGGAATGAAGTTTTCACGAAAGCTATGCATGATTTATGATAATGAATGTTTTATGATCTAGTTTTCTTTAAGATAAACATCAATGAATTTGTGAAAAGTTTTCTCACACATGAATAAATTGTGAAATGTATTCTCACATTATGAGATAATAATTGTTGAAAGTTTTTCTCAACATGGTTGCTTAAGCTTGGATTAGTAACTTAGTTGCAATTTTTCATGTCTGATGATATGTCTATGTTAATGACTATTCAGTTGTGATGGTTACTTAGCAAAAAGAGGATATTGAGATGGAGGCTCTCCTGTTAGTAAAGGTCGAATCTTTAGTAGCAATCTCCTTGTCCTAACTACATGGCCCAGAAGGATTTGTCTTAGAAAGACATAAGTAGTGGATCCATCAAAGTTAAAAGTTAAGGTCCTTACCTTGGCAAGTAAGGACATCTCCTTTCAGTGTGGGAGCAAGACACCAATTTCCATGTTATAGCTCACATGATTTATGTCGGTTAATGGTAAATATCTCACAAAATAATATATGCTTTCTCTTAAGATTTTATGAGCATTTCATTATGATTTTAAGATACATTAACCATGTTGATAACTTATGATTATTCTTTAAATATTCTACTAAGTTTTATCTTGATCACTCATATCAAGTTTATCATTTATGTCCCCTTATGATCATTTTTTACATTTCCATGCATACCCCTCATATTTACTACATTCCATTTACTAATACATATTTGTGTCTACATTGTCTGATTATGTAGGGTGTGAAACTTCTTGTCCTTCCACTTGTGGCTAGTGTCTTGATCATCCACATTCAGAGTTGGTGAGTCCTACTATTTAAAGGACCATGTCACCTTTACTTTATTTCTTATATTTCAGCCTTCATAAATTGTACGTAGTGTAGGGTTTACCTCTCGACCATTTCGTTTGATATATTAGAATGGCTTGTCAATACTATGATTATACTTCTGATTTATGTCAAAATAATTTATGATATAAGATGTTGTTTTTAAGTTCTCATATTTTCTATTATGTTATGGTGTATGCATATCACGTGGCTAATGTAGGTCCTCTCGGAGTCATATATACTATGTCACTTCCAGTGTGTACTTTGGATAGTGACAAACGTGATATTCAGAGAATAAGGTTTTAGAAAAGGTCCTTGGATGTTTGAAAAGCCGTGTTGAATAGAGTCTTGTTCATGAATGTGAAGCGCGTCATATTTATGAATAAGTGTCTACAAAATATTTAGGAAACTTAAATTTTTTCATTACTCTAAAATCGTGTCATAGAGTTTATCTCTATAAAGATCCTTCTCCTAAGTATTGTCAGATGTTTTTCACCATATGGACCTTCAAAGATCTTACTTGGAAAGGAATGCAAACAACAGATTTGTGGAGCCCGAGATTACTAAAGTTTCTATTGATCCTTTGGGGGAGCAAGTGATTCATGTTGAATACTGTGACACTTCCCAAGTGTTATCTCAAGCTGTGAAGGGTTATGAGGATCCTCAAGAGTTCATCGATGAGGTATATAATATAGTGCGACTAATACAATTTTCTATGGTGGAGAAGAAAGAATTGGTACCAACTCAAAGGTGTGGCTAAAGTTTGGTTCAACCAATGCAAGGAAGAGAGGAGGTCGATGCGGGTCCTCTTGATTGGGGATAAATTCAAAGGACCGTTTATTGATCATTTCTTTCCTTTTAATATGAGAGAAGCAACAGTTCTTGAGTTTATTAATCTCAGGCCGACATTATTTAATGTGGGATTTACAAAGGTGCTTGAGTTCATTAATCTCAGGCCGACATTATTTAATGTGAGATTTACAAAGGTGCTTGAGTTCATTAATCTCAGGCCGACATTATTGAATTATTAGAGAGGCCGGCTGAGGTGTTCGTTTAATGGGTTTTCTATTATGTTAGATAGAAAATGATGAAAATATAAAAATAAGTTAAATAGTGCTAAGTGTTTGACAAAACAAATTCATGATGGGAAACCATCATATCTCCGAAAGCTTGCCAGCTCCAATAGTGGAGACTAACACAAGAGATGTTAAAAAGAGGCTTCTGATGATCCACCTTACAGATTAACACACCTCTAACAGATTTCAGGAAGACCATTATGAAGGTCTTTCTTACCAAGACACAGACAAGGGACAACAAAGTAAGTAATGGACTTTCACACCTGTGACGGGCCATTAGGTGAAGCGTTAGGTGAACCTAAGGGGGATAGTTTTTGATTTTTAAATTCCATACATAGTAGAACTATAAATAGTAGGATCTATTTTATCATTTTTAAGCGAAGAAAACAGTACGCTTGAATGAGAGTTTGTTCAGACTTGATTTTCAAAATGAAAGCTTGTGTGATTGCCTCTTTTTGTAAGTAAATTCCTATTCAATGAATCCAATGCATGATACACTTTAAATTATTATGAGTGGTTAAAACCCACAACCTAGGGTTTTAGAATCCATGACAACTTAACCTAAACAAAGGTTGCTTATTGAATAAAATCGATATCGTGATTGTATTTCTTATTTGCTCTTGTATCACAATTGTTTTCTAATGGTTGTAGACATTAAAGCCAGCCATAGGTTTGAATTCTTTGAGGAAAAATGTGTAAAACCTAGGAAAAAAGTTAATATGAGGATTCAAGATTTCAAACTCATTTAATAGTTGATGTTGTAGAAAGACTAACCAACATTTTGTAAATGTCATTGATTTGAGGCTATCACTTTTATTTCAATAAATTGGTAAACTGGCCTTACAAGGTTGAATTTGGTAAGAACCAAAAATAAGTAATACAGCCTTGGTGAGCATAATCTAATTATAAATTTTCAATTAAAATTAACATTGTTGAAAGATTCTAGTTATATGTTGATAATTCAAAGCATTCAAATTCTTCCAAACTTTTCCTTTCCATTGTTAAATAACAAACTAATAGTAAACAATTACATATAAATTAGTTCTCACCTTATTTCTGATGGGATTTGACTCTTAATCTTATTAGGTTTTTATATTTAATAACGTGCACATTATATTTTTTGTTGGAGGTGTAATTTGGGTGTATCAGTATTGTTGTCTAAAACCTTTGGAAACTCTTGTAAATGATTTCATACATCTTATTAGGGTTAGACTGTCAATTTCATCAATCAAGATCCACTTCTCAAATTTCAAATCTTTAGATTCTTCAAGAAAACTAGGGTTCCTCATTACCATGCCTTGAGTTCAAAGATTCTATCAAGATTTTTCCATTCATCTATGTAGAATTTCATCAATGGATATCATTTACCATTAAATCCCAATGAAAGCATTATTTTTCAATTAATTAAATTCTATAGAATCTAAGGTTCCTATAAAAACATGACTTATTTCATATTTGAGTTCCAGAAAAGTCCATGAATACATTTTTTAACCTAAAATTCGGTATTTTAGCTGTTTTCATTAGACCTCCGAATAGGAAATATTTTTTTCTTTGAGATTGCATTGGTTAAATTACATGTTTTATTCAGACTGGTAAAATTTTTCATGATCAGTTGTACCTTCGGTATTTTAGTTCCAAATGTATATAACGCTTTCATATAAAGTGATATTATTTTAGACACAACTTTCAGTATAATTAAACTATCCAGTATTATGCATTTTACTAATATAATTTAGTTTGGAGTATTACTTAGCATCAAGTGAATATACGGATGAAGGTTCATCTGTCAATTACCACTAAGACCTTTTATAAATTTCTAAAAGTCATACAACTATGTGTAACCGCAGGTTTAAGGATTATCCATCAAGAGTAACACCTTACTCTTTTTCCAATATCAGCATAGTGGATACATGTTAGACAGTGCTCGTACATACAAGTTGGACTATGGTTAGCTAAGCACAAGTATATCAATTAGATATTGAAAGACCTTGTATTTTAATTGCTCATTTAAGTGTCGATTAGTTACATGCTTATTACTAGGCCACTGTATCAACTTATTTATTTAAGTTTATATCTATCTCCTTATATCATATTTAGTTTATTAGATTATTATGTTTATCTCACATACTCGGTACATTCAAAGTATCAATCACATAAGTCTTTTCAACTATATTAAACGCTTAGTATTCAAGTCGTTGTTAGTATGATTTTGTATCCTCTCATTAGTAGAGTTTGGTAAATCCTCATCTTTTAAGGACAAGAACTATTGTTAGTTCCACTACAACAAAAATAAATTTTAGTGGCAATAAATAGACATATTAATAAAGATTACTAAAGTTTTTACCAACACTAATTAAGTATCATTAGATAAAATATCACTAAAGCCGTTAGGGACATATACATGCTGCTAAAAATACATATTTAGCGATAGTTGCTAATTAATTGTCGCTAAAGATCATTTTTTATGTAGTGTTCTTTCATTTAGAATTTATGTTTTAGGATGCTTGAGTTAGCTGGGGGCTTGTCCCATCAGCTCATCTTAATAAGTCCTTTCAGAAAGTTAGGCAATAGTTTTTGCTTTATGGTTTATTCAAATGAATTATATTTTGACTATTCAGTTATTTCAGATTTGTTTATTGTTATGTTTCGCTAAAAGACATTTAGTAGTTATTTTAATCTTATTGTTATGATAGACTTAGTGTTAGCTTAGAATCATTTGTGCCTTTAAATAATTTAGTACAACTAATGGATAGTCTCAAATCGCAAAAATTTTAATCTATATGTATTTGTAACAACTCTACAACTAGAAAGGAAAAGTTGTAGAAAATTTTGTTTTAGTATGAATGATGAGTCGATGTACAAACTGTATGAAATTCTATGGCTAGTAGGAAATAATTTGAGATTTTAGAAAATGTCATGTCCGAGATGATGTTGTACAAATAAGCAGGACAAACTTCAAGAATCGTTACAGGTTGTAGGAGAGATCCATAGAAGTGATCCAAACTTAGTGAGATAAAGTATGCTTTTAGATAAAGTATCAATGATTTGTGAATGGTTTTATCATATTTGAAAAAAACTCATGATTTAGATGCTTGAAAAGGGAGTGTCTTATGAACTAGTTTATGAAATCATGGTTTTGAAAGGAGCTACTCTATTATGAACTTATGATTGATTTTATAGTCTTGCTTTTTGCTTTTCCAAGTATTTTTATACGATTATGGTTATTGATTTTCTGTTGAGATTTACTTCAAACCAAGAGGACTTTGAGATGGAAGATCTTTCGTTAGCAGAACTTAGTCATTTGTTGGCAGAAGCATCTCTTTGTATCTAACTATGTGCTACCTAGGATTGTATGAAATGACCTACCTAGTGGATCCATCATAAAAGTAATGAACGAAATGTAGTTCTACCTTTTCAAGTAGATTCCTTTTTTCGGTGTGAGGTTCATACTAGATTCTATGTTATAACTCACATGGTCTTATTATTGGTTAATGGTAAATATCCCACAAATGAACTATGTTTTCTTCAAAATCTATTCAAACCTTTTCTTTATAATTTTAAATTATGCCTCGACCTTGTTCATAATTTATGATTTTCTCTCTCTAAAGTCTTTTATTACATTTACTTGGTCATGCATATAATGTTTAAAGTTACACATATCATTATGCTTATGTTTTGTGCATTTTCTCATACTTAGTAAAATTCAACATATTAATGTATATTTGTGCCTATATTATCTCATAATATATGGTTTGATGCTCCTCCTCCTGCACATGCTTAATTTGAATTGCTCCGCTTGAGCGCTTAGATTGGTGAGTCGTCATGGTACTATGGTAAATCCGTGGATAATTTATTTGCTTTTATAGTCATTTTTGTTTCAGACTTGTACACGGTGTATAAGTTATGGCTCAACCACTCGTATGATGTTATAAAGACTTATGGAAAACATATTAGTGCTCAGCGTATTTCTTATATATTATATTGGTATTGTTTAGGACATCTTATGTTTTAAGACATATTGTGTATATCTTGAATTGTATTTTATTACCTCATATTTATGTCAAATTTCTTGTTTAGGGCATGTTAGGTACTATTTGATATGTCATGTTTAAGGTGTACATTGGATCATGACAAACTAGGTATTTAGAGCATCAAATTTTAGAAAAGGTCCTAGGATGTTTGACAAGCGAGCCGAGTAAAGTCTTGTTCAGTAGTGTGAACGCCATCACATTTATGAATAGGAGGCTACATGCCAATTAGGAAATTTCACTTTTTCACTACTCTAAAGTTTAGAGATCTTCTCTATAAAGGTTTTTCTCTTAAATATTGTTCGATGCTTTACAGGATATGTCTCAGACTTAATGAAAGAAGGAATGCAGGTAATGATTTGGAGATTAAAGTTTGTCATGTGTCAGTCAATCATTTTGCCTTACAAGTGTCTCATGCAAAATCTCCAACCACTTTTTAAGTGTTAGCTCAAGTTATGACATCCCAAACTAATGCAGGTTGTTGCTCCAATGAATACAAATATGGTTACAACTGCAATAATGTGAGGGAGATCACTAGGATTAATTCCTCGGAGTTCTTTGGGTCAAAAGTTGGTGAAGATCTAAAAGAGTTTGTTAAGGAAATACACAAGTTTATGGAGATTATGGGAGTTGCACTAGTAGAAAAGGAAGAATTGGTTGCCTACCAACTTAACTATGTTTCTGAAGTGTTGTTCAACAAAAAGAATGAAGAGAGGGTAATTGATGTGAGTCCTCTTGATTGGGAGAAATCCAAAGGGGCTTTACTTGATCATTTCTTTCCTATTAAATGAGGAAGCGAAGATGCTTGAGATCATCAATATTCGTCAAGGAAATATCAATGTGAAATCGTATGCATTGAAGTTCAATTAATATACAATATTTTCTACTACCTTTATTGTTGACTCTAGGTCAAGGATGAGTAAGTTTGTGCCTAGTGTGTCTAAATTGGTGGTCAGAGAGTGTCACACCTCGAGTCTACCCCCGGGCACGAATATCGGACCTAGGATCACAAGTAACCCTAAGTTAACCCTGCTGTATATAATAAGCATACTAAAGTAAATTTAATCAATAAATATTGTGAGGATCATGAGATAATTTGAAATGATGGGGAATACCCATATACTAAATCTTAATATATGAAGTTCAGAGTTAGAATATAAAAGAGAATCACACTCTAAAATTGAAGTAAAAGCTAACTATACCTGAAATAAGCATCTAAACCGACTAGAAGTGTTGGGATATGCCCCAACTAAATCTAGAAAAACTGAAAACGAAAGACTAAAAGTAATAAAAATAATCATGTCACTAGTTGCTGAGCCGAAGATCCAGAACCAACCTATGCGTGATCTGACAATTGAGGATCTGAACCTACATCATGAGAAGATTTAGTGGAAAGTATGTGTTTGTACTTGAAAGGTATTGAGAATGAGGGATAGAGTAAAGTTGAAATAACATATAACTTAACAAAGCAATAAAGCTGAGAGTTTGAATAAAAAGAGAAATAAAACTCTAAAACTAAAGCTGAAACTAATTATGTCTGAAATAAGCCTCTAAACAGACTAGATGTTCTGGGACATACCCAAGCTAAATCTAGAAAAACTGAAAACTAAAGACTAAAAGTGATAAAAATAGGCATGTCACTAGTACTCGAAGAATGAGGCTCACCACTTATGTTGCTGAGTTGAAGATCGGGTACAAACTTATGTGTGATCTGACTGTTGAGGACCAGAACCTATATCAGGAGAAGATATAGCATAGAGTATGCGTCATTACTTGAAAGTAATTGAGTATGAGAGATAGCATAAAGCTGGAATAACATATAACTACACAAAGCAATAAAGTAGTAACATAGTCTGAACATGATAAGGATACGGAAATATTGAACATAACTAAACTAAATGTAACGGCCAAGTTATAACATGCTAATATTGAATAGTAACTTGATCAATGCAATAGAGTATAACTTAACTACGAGAGCTACTAATAACCAATATAAAACCACATTAGCTAAATGTAAAGTCTGATGTATACGCCCCATCAAGAGGACCCACTACACTCGGCCAAAGGTGTAGAGGCATGATAGTGTGATCACTAGAATGATATCTATATAGGGGACTTACACCCTGCGTGACTCGTACTTCTAGGACTATATGGGTGACTGATCGTTGTCAAACTCAGTATTATGCTGCTCCCAATAGACTAAATGACTAACACATTGTGACTGAGTTGTTGTAATATACTAGATATCTCAAAACTAACATGTAAACTTGGAATATATACACATTGATATGCTGATAATGACATATTCAAGACTGAGGTATGTATAACCTCGCATGTGTAAATCAAAAGACCTAAAGAAATACATAAATAGGGTTCTGAAATTCATGCAAAAATGAAGTAATAACATGACAATATGATTTGAAACATGTAATAACTAACTCATGATAATGTGTTGAAGTTATAGAACTCCTAGGTCTAGTTATGATAAAATAATCAAGAATGTGATTGAATTCATAGGGACTTATTGAGAAAAAGGAATCCACTAGTGAAATCCCACATACCTGGTGACGGATTCCATGGAGAAATCTTTCGATTTTGGGTTTATTATTGATGGAATCTTATTATGTTCTTGAATAGGTTTTTATGCCTCTTTCTTCTCTCTAGGTTTTAATTTTCTTAGTTTTTATGAAACATCTGACTTAGGTAAGTTCTAGTAATGTTTCTAGGCTAAAACTAACCAAACCATGTAGTTTAGGATTAAAACGACGTAGTTTAGGAGTCCTACAAAATAGGAAAAGATCAAAGACTCTGACTTAAAATAATAATACGACCACTTTCACGGACCATGAAAGGGACCACAGACCGTGAAGACTCTCATGGTCTTCACTTGGTCCTGTGGTTCTGAAGACTTGGTCCACGAGCCACTACCACGGCCCATGTAAAGGACCACTTGGGCTGAGATCAGGAGGCCCATGTTTGGGAGGCCCAATGGTTAGAATTCACTGACGTTCCCATGACCTGTCACTAGGAAGGTCCTCGTGGTCCTCACTTAGGTGTAGGATGTTAAGGGGTTGTCTAGGGGAGGCTACTTCCTCAACTTCTATGGATTCTACCATGACCTGTCTTCAGTACTACAGAGCGTGAAGGTCCCCAGTGGTCCTTACTTTTATGAGAGGGTATGAGGGCTAGGCTTTATAGGGATACTGTTTAAGGCACTATGGACGATGCCATGATCTGTCTTCAAGACAACGGCCCGTGAAGGGTCTTGTGGTCTGACGTTTGGGCCTGGTGGATTTTAACTCTACACCATGGGCAAGTCAACGGATTGTGGACCCTATCAACCCTATCGTGGCTAACTAGTTTAGGTAAGTTTCTGCAAATTTTTTCTAGGTCTGCTTTTCGAGGTATTTATTAGGAAGATGGATATCTCTCGTTTGATGATACATACCCAATAGATTGAAGAGGAAAATCTAAAAAACAAATCTTGGGAGTCTAATGGGTGAAGGATTGATTATGGTGACGTTTCTAATTCTAAGTCAGATGGACATAGACATCCTCAATTACGGAAAAATTTATCTAGTCAAGGTTCTTCACGTTTTTCAAAATCAAAGTTCAACAAAGATAGGGAGTCCAACCCTAGGTCTGAATGAGACGGTGGTTGTGGACCATCTATTCAAGCTTTCCACAAGTATGGAAAGAGTCATTCGGGAAAGTTCTAATCCAATACAAATGTTTGATATGGTTGTGGGAAGAGTGGTCACAAGGTGAGAGAGTGACCTTTTCTCACTAAGAAAAATGATGGTAGGCAAGCTTAGCCTAGTGGTTTTGGTTTGGGTTCTCCTCCTCAAAATATGTTTTTATGCACTTCAAATTTGATAGGATCATGAGGGTTCTCTAGATGTTGTGATTGGTCTGTTGAAAATGTTTCATCACAATATATATGTGTTACTTGATTCGGGTGTTAAATTTTCTTTTGTGACTCCTTATGTGGTCCTCAAGTTCTTTTCTAACCATTTTCAATCTCTATACCAATTAGTGATTCTACTATTTCTAAACAAATTTATGAAAAATATCTTGTTTCGGTTTCTCATAGAGGCATCTATGTTGATTTGGTAGAGATTGATATGTTAGATTTTGATGTTATTCTTGGGACAAATTTGCTTCATTCTTTTTATGCTTTCATAGATTGTAAGACCCGATTGGTTATATATCAGGTTCCAAACAAACCTATCTTAGAATGGAAAAGTGGGAAATTCAACGCCTAAGTTTTAGTTTATATCGTACCTAAAGTATAGAAAAATAATTTCAAAGAGTTGTACTTATCATCTTGTTTGCGTTAGGGATACGAGTTCTGAACCCCCCTACTCTTGAGTCAATTTTGATCGTAAATGAGTTTCTAGAGATATTTCTTAATGATTGTCCTGGTATTCCCTCCTAAAGAAAAATAGACTTCAGTATTGACCTACTCCAAATACACAACCTATATCTATTCCTTCTTACCAAATGAATCTGGTAGAACTTAAAGAGTTAAAGGATCAATTGAAGGATTTTTTGGCTAAGGGTTTCATCCGTGTACTCTCAGGCATGGGGTGCTCCGATGGTGCTTGTACAAAAGAAGTATGGTTATCTTCGTATATGCATTGACTATTGACAATTGAATAAGGTTATAGTGAAAAAGTAAGTATTCTATTATTTGGATTGATGATTTTCTTGACCGATCTAAAGTGGGATTCTCTTTTTGAAGATTGAACTTCGGACGGGTTATCACCAATGAAAGGTAGAGAAAAGTGACAGTCTAAAAATGGCTTCCAAAATAGGTATGGTCACTCTAAATTTGTGGTGATACCATTTAGTTTGTAGTATGATTGACTCTCGGAGTGAGGAAGAGCAATATTTAAAATTTAAAAATTGTGTTTCAAATTATTAAGGATAGTTAATTGTTTGATAAGTTTAGCAAATGTGAGTTTGATTGAGGTTAGTTGCTTTCCTTTGCATATTTTGTCCGATGAAGGTATACAAGTCGATCCTAAGAAGACCAAGGAATTTAAGTATTGGTGTAGACCTTTGTCTTCTTCAGATGCATACGTAGTTTCTTGAGTTTGGTCGGTTACTATTGAAATTTGTGAAAGTATTTTCTTCTTTGCTTTTCCTTTGACGATGTTTATCCAAAAAGTTGAAATTTCTACAGTCACAACTCTGTGAGAAGAGTTTCCAAGAGTTGTAGGATAGATTCCAGCCCTTTTACCAAAAGAATCGAATGTTTTTGTGGTATATTTTTATTCTTCAAGAATTAGTCTTCGTTGTGTCTTAATGCAACATGGGAAAGTCATTGTTTCTGCTTCAAGGCAACTGAAGGTACATGAAATGAACTATCCAACACATGGTTTTGAATTGGATGCGGTGGTTTTTGCTTAAAATATTCAAAAACATTACCTTTATGGTGTTCATATGGATGTATTTACCGACCACAAGAGTTTGAAATATGTGTTCACCCTAAAAGACTTAAATCATTGCCAAAGAGATGGCTTGAATTGATTAAAAGATAACAACATGACTATCCTTTGTCATCTATGTAATAAAATCTGGTGGCAGATGTTCCTAGTCAACTATCGATGGAAAGTGTTACTCATGTTCAATATGGTAAGAACGAGTTGGTTCGCAATGTTCATACATTGTCCTGATTGGGTGGTCGCTTGGTCGATTTTATTAAGGGTGGTATGTTGTAAAAATAGGTTTGGAATCGTGTCTCATGTCGGATGTGAAGGCTAAGCAAGACCTTGATCCAGTTATGGTTGATTTGAAGATGTTGGTTTCCGAAAAAAATCATTAAAGCTTTTTCTCAAGGAGAGGATGGTGCCCTTCGATACTAAGGTCGATTATGTTCTCCAAATGTTGAGGATTTGAGGAATTAAATTCTTGTGAAAGGTCAAAGTTCTTGCTATTCTATTCACCCATGAGCAACAAAGATGTACTGTGATGTGCGAGAGGTCTATTGGTTAAATGGGATGAAGAAGGATATTGAAGAATATAAGTCTAAGTGTCCTAATTATCAGCAAGTGAAATTTTATCATTATAAATTGGGTGGTTTGAATCAAGATATTAACATTTCTACTTGGATGTGGGAAGATTTGAATATGGACTTCGTTACGAGTTTACCTCGTACTCATCGTTGGTTTGACTTAATTTGGATTATTGTGAACTGAATGATAAAGTCAGCTCATTTTTTTAAAGTGAAGACTTAATTCTCTATTGAATATTATGCGAAGAATTTTATTTAGGAAATGGTAAGATTGCATGGACTGCCTTAATACATTATCTTTGATCGTGGTACTCAATTTGCGTCTCAATTTTAGAGGTCTTTCTGAAAGGGTCTTGGTACTCAAGTGAAGTTTAGCACAACTTTTCATGGTCAAACTGATGAAGAAATAAAACTTACTATTCAGACTTAGGATAATATGTTAAGAGCTTGTGTGATTGACCCGAAGGGTAATCGATGATTATTTTCTTTGATTGAGTTTGCTTTTAATAATAATAATTGTTATCATAATTATTAGTCAATTATCCAAATGGATCCATTTGATGATCTCTATGGTAGGAGGTGTAGGTCTTATATTGGTTGGTTCAAGGCTGATCAGGTCGTTTTGTTAGGGTCTCAGTTAATATATCTATGAAAAAGGTTCAAATTATTCAAGAAAGGTTGAATATGACTCAAAGTCGACAACAATTTTACGC